TGCAGCAGCAGCTTTGAGACTTTTCTGTTTTTTTCTGCGTCTTTGTTTGCGTGGGGCTGCTGCGGCTGCTGCTGTGTCTACTGCTGCTGCTGCTGCTGCTGCTGTTGCTGCTGTTGCTGCTGTTGCTGCGGCTGCTGTTGCTGCTGCTGTTGCTGCTGTTGTTGCTGCTCTCTTCTGATGATGTGTGTCTCCTTTTCTCTTTAATTTATTTTTCACTTCGCTACCCTGTCTTTGTTTTCTCAGACTTAAATGCCTATTTTATTTGTGTCTTTCTGCTGCTGCTGCTGCTGCTGCGGCTGCTGCTGCTGCTGTTGCTGCTGCTGCTGCTGCTCGTCTCATTCTGTTGCTGCTCCTTTTCTCCGTCTGCTGCTGCTGCTCTGCTGCAGTCTCCATCTGCTGCTGCCCCGATTTGCTGCTGTCTCTTTTCGCTGCGCACATGCTGCAGCAGGTGTTGCTGAGTTTGCAAACTGCAAAACCACTAAAAAGGGTTTAGGGTTTAGGGTTTAGGAGCCGGCAACACAGGGGAAACTTGCACCCGCGTGCCAGAGAAGGGCATTCAGGGTTAAATGAGGGTTTACTGATTCGCTTGAGGCTGCGCATTTCAAGAACTAGGGTTTAGGGTTTAGGGTTTAGGGTTTAGGGTTTAGGGTTTAGGGTTTGGCTTGGGGTTTGCGCGGGAGGCTTCTAGGGATGTCTCGGGCGTCTGAAGTGGAGAAGTGAATTAAAAAGTGAAATAATTGAAATATAAATAAAAAATAAAAAAATAAAATGAATTAAAAAGGAGTTAAAGGAAGAAGCGCTCGCGGCGCTCAGGTGTATAGACACCTCGGTCACCTGCGGCGAGCGCCACTCGGAGCGTTTCTTTTCGCCGAAACATTTTCATTTTTTTTTAATTTTAAATAATTAAATTATCTTAAATGTTAATTTATATCATTTGTCCGAATTACAACTCTTCCGGCGTCCTCCGTAGCCGCTCTTTCCTCTTTTCCGTCTCGCGGGGCCCCCCAGCTGCTGCTGCTTCCCGCTCCACGGGCTAGGGTTTAGGGTTTAGGGTTTAGGGTTTAGGGTTTAGACCCTGAATTTAGCTCGCCTGCCTATGGCTGCGACGCACCACGGCTGCCCAGCCTCTCAAGAAGCACGAGAGCTCTTGGGGGGCCCCTGGGGGCCCCTGGAGACTGCAGCAGCCCCGAGCTAGCTGCAGCAGCAGCTGCTGCTGCTGCTGCTCCTGCTGCTGCTGCTGCTGCTGCGCTGTGGGCCCCCTGGCTGTCTGTGGGGCCCCGCAGCAGCAGCTTCTGCCGGGGCTGGCGGCCCAGGCGTGGGCCTGGGAACCAGGGCCTCGCTCCAGGGCCTAGGGTTTAGGGTTTAGGGTTTAGGGTTTAGGGTTTAGGGTTTGGGATGGCTTTTCGGGCGCTGCTGTCGCAGCCGCAGCCGCAGGGCTGTGGGGCCCCCCCCTCGGGGCCCTCCATTTCTGGGGCCTCTTCAAACCCTCTGACTTCTTTCCTGAGTTCCGTGACACAAGACCCCCTCAGGACTCAGCAGGTAGGGTTTAGGGTTTAGGGTTTAGGGTTTAGGGTTTAGGGTTTGGGGTTTAGGGTTTGGGGGTTAGGGTTTAGGGTTTACGCTTGGGGGTTTGCGCGGCCGAGCTGGAGGCTGTTCCAGCTTAGGGCAAGGCCATTCGTCGCTTTGGGCGCGTTAGGGTTTAGGGTTTAGGGTTTAGGGTTTAGGGTTTAGGGTTTAGGGTTTAGGGTTTGCGACTGCTGCGCAGCTGACGGAAGGGTACGATTTAAGTGGCCTCCAGGGGCCCCTGGGGGACCAGCTGGGGGCCCCCCTAGGGGCCCCCAGGGGGGCCCCCCTGGGGGCCCCCCAGCAGCAAAAGGGGCCCCTGGGGGCCCCTGCTGCTGCTGAAGCAGCAGAAGATGTGTTTATACCCCCTGCTGACGCAGCAGCAGCAGAAAGAGCAGCAGCAAGAATTGCTCCTGAAGCTCGTAAGCGGGGGTTTAGGGTTTAGGGTTTAGGGTTTAGAGGCCCGGAACTGAGGGCGAGGGTTTAGGGTTTAGGGTTTAGGGTTTGGCGCTTTCGAGTCTGCTGCTGCTTCCAGGGGGCGTCGAGGGGCTTTTGTCCAGCAGCACTGCAGCAGCAGCAGCAGCAGAAGCAGCAGCAGAAGCAGCAGCAGAAGCAGAGCTGCTGCGCTCTTCTCACTTCAGAGAGCACTTTCTGCACCCTGCAGCAAGGCAGCAGCAGCAGCAGCAACAGCAGCAGCAGCAGCAGCAACCGCAGCATGGGCCCTCTGCGTGGGCCGCAGAATTCCTTACTCGACAGCAGCAGCAGCAGCAGCAGCAGCAGCAGCAGCAGCAGCTGAAGCGCTTTGGCGGAGACACGGGGCTGGTGCAGCAGTGGGCCAAGGTGAGCTGCTGCTGCTGCAGCGGCTGCTGCTGCTGCTGCTGCAGCTGCTGCTGCTGCTGCGGCTTGTGCTGCTGCTTCTGCCGCTTTTTTGCTGCTGCTGCCACTAAAGTGCCTGCTTCTGCACTTGCCACCCTTGCTGCTGCTGCTGCTGCTGCTGTTGCTGCTGTTTCCCTCAGGAGTTCGGGTCACTCTCCCTGGGGGGTCCCCCACCAGCCCAGCAGCAGCAGCAGCAGCAGCAGCAGCAGCAGCAGCAGCAGCAGCTGTTTGGGGCCCCCCTCTTTGTCAGTGGGGCCTACGAGGCCTCCCAAAGACTTGCTGCTGCTGCTGCTCCCCGGCCTCCCTTTGGGGCGCAGCTGCCGCTGCAGCAGCAGTTTCCTTTCCACCTATTCTTCCAGCAGCAGCAGCAGCAGCAGCAGCAGCCGCAGCAGCCGCAGCAGCAGCAGCAGCAGCCGCAGCAGCAGCAGGAACAACAGCAACAGAAAGAGCAGCCACAGGAAGTGCTGCAACAACCCGAAATTTTTGACCCAGTGAGAACTGCAGCGTCTGCTGCTGCTGCTGCTGCTGCTGCTGCTGCTGCTGTTGCTGCTGCTGATTGTGCTTCAGGCATGCCCTGCTGCTGTTTGCTTTGCTTTTCTCCCCTTAATTCGAATCACTGCTGTTGCTGTTGCTGCTGCTTCTACTGCTGCTGCTGCTGCTGCTGCTGCACCTACTCGTGCTGCTGCGCTGCTGATGCTGCCTCTACTGCTGCTGCTGCTGCTGCTGCTGCTGCTGCTGCTGCTGCTGCTGCGGCTGGTGTTGCAGCACTGCTGCTGACACCTTTACAGCAGCTATTCCTTGCACAGCTATTCCTTCTGCTGCTGCTGCTGCAGCAACCAGCGCTGCTGCTGCTGCTGCTGTTGCTGTGGCTCCTGCTGCCGCTCGTGCTGCTGCTGCTGCTGCACCAACCAGCACGGCTGCCACTACCGCTGCGGCTTCTGCTGCCCCTTTTCTGCTGCTGCACCTGTTGCTGCTGCTGCTGCACCTGCTACTGCGCTTGCTGCTGCACCTCTGCTGCGCCTGCTGCGCCTGCTGCTGCTGCTGCTGCTGCTGCTGCTGCTGCTGCTGCTGCTGCTGCTGCTTAGGCCGTGGCCCGCGACCTGGTGAGGGGCCTCAAGGCCGTGGGGGGCCCCAAAATAATGAATGCGGAATTCACGAAGTTCGTGGAGGCCCTTGCGGAGGGGGGCCTCAGGCTGGAGAACGGACAGGCAAACCCTAAACCCTAAACCCTAAACCCTAAACCCTAAACCCTAAACCCTAAGGTCGGAGCGGGGAGGCTTCAAGGTGAAGGCTGTGGCCTCGGCAGAGCGGCAGCAGCTCCAGGAGTTGGGTTAGGTGCATGCAGCGTGTCCTTATTAGGGTTTAGGGTTTAGGGTTTAGGGTTTAGGGTTTAGGGTTTAGGGTTTAGGGTTTAGGGTTTGCGGCGCAGTTGTTGTCGGCGGAGGGGGAGCCAGTGGACTGGGACACGGTGCTGGCAGCCAAAGAAGTGCAGCAGCAAAACCCTGATGAGGGTTTTGCTGCTGAGGGTTTTGCTGCTGAGGGTTTTGCTGCTGCTGCTGCTGCTGCTGCTGCTGCTAAAGACCCCCAGGAGGCCCCCAGTGACTTCGAAGCCTCGCTGCGCGAATTAGAAGAAACATGGAAAAGAGCCCACGCCAACGTAAACCCTAAACCCTAAACCCTAAACCCTAAACCCTAAACCCTAAACCCTTCGGACTCGAAGCTGCAGACCCTCGCGTGCTAAACCCCAAACCCTCAAAAAGTGGAAGGCCCTGCTTTGCTGGGTCGCGGCGAATTAGAGAGCCAGACTTAGGGTTTAGGGTTTAGGGTTTAGGGTTTAGGGTTTAGGGTTTAGGGTTTTGGGCTTAGGGTGAAATTGACGCTGAAGAGCTGGGGCTGTTTCAGTCCATTTTCAAGTCTGAAGACATGGAAAGAATTCTCGAGCAAGACCCCAAGGAAAGGGCTGGTAAACCCTAAACCCTAAACCCCAAACCCTAAACCCTAAACCCTAGGCTTTAGCGGGCTTCGTATGCGGCTTCAGGCGTTCAGGGAGTGCCTAGAGCTCAGGGTGCAGGGTTCAGGGTTTAGGGTTTAGGGTTTAGGGTTTAGGGTTTAGGGTTTAGGCTTGTGCGTGTTTCCAGACGAAATGTTTGATGTTTCCATGGGAGATGCTACAGGTGAGACTTAGCGAGTCCTAGGGTTTAGGGTTTAGGGTTTCGGGCTAAGGGTCAAGAGTTTAGGGTTTAGAGCTCTGGCTCAGAAAACCGCGTTTAGGGTTTAGGGTTTTGACGAGCTAGGGTTTAGGGTTTACCGACATGGGTGAGCTTCTATAGGGTTGCGGCTTTAGAGCTGCCAGGAGCATCTCAAGGGTTTAGGGTCTAGGGTCTAGGGTTTAGGGTTTAGGGTTCAGAATTAAGGGTTTAGGGTTTAGGGTTAAGGGCTCAGGGTTTAGGGATGAGGGTTTAGGGTTCAGGGTTTAGGGTTTGTGCGCGCAGAGGGCGAGGAGGCGTTGTTGAGTTTCAGCAGAGAAAACCCTTATTTAGGGTTTGGCGAGGGTTTGGAAGCAGCAAACAAATTAATAAAAGAAGGAAAGCTGCAGCAGGCGGTTTGGGTTTTGGAAGCAGAAGTTCAGAAAAACCCTAGCAGCAGCGAGGGTTGGCGGCTGCTTGGCCAGTGCCACGCGGACAGGGAGCAGGTCAAACCCTAAACCCTAAACCCTAAACCCTAAACCCTCGCGAAACCCTAAACCCTCGCGAAACCCTAAACCCTAGGCGCGCGGCGCAGCGCGGGCGCCGCCGAACGCAGGAGGTTGCGAGGCAGCAGCAGGGCGGAGACGCTAGGGCTAACAAACCTAGGGTTTAGGGTTTAGGGTTTAGGGTTTAGGGTTTAGGGTTTAGGGTTTGGGGCTGTTCAGGATGTAGAGGCGATTCACTGCTTGAAGAAAGGCCACAGCGTTGACCCTTACAACCTTGACAGGTGGGCTCTAAACCCTAGCATTTCTAAACCCTAGCCCTTTTCTCTAAACCCTAAACCCTAGCTCTCTAAACCCTAAACCCTAGCCCTTTTCTCTGAACCGTAAACCCTAATTTTTGTCCTTTCTCTGGCACCTCTTGGCGTGACGGCAAGTCGAGCTTGCCTTCTAGCCACCAAAGCCCAGGGTTTAGGGTTTAGGGTTTAGGGTTTAGGGTTTAGGGTTTAGGGTTTTGCAGTCTGATGGCTCTTGGGGTTTCTCTCACCAACGAGCTGGATGTATCTCAAGCCCTTCTTTATCTGCGAACTTGGTTGACAAACCACGACGATTTCCAGAACCTGCCGGGCCTTTCCGTAAACCCTAAACCCTAAACCCTAAACCCTAAACCCTAAACCCTAAACCCTAACCCTTCGCCGTAGCAGCCGCAGGCCCCACAGCGCTGCGCCGCCGCTGGCCCTTAACCTGCTGCGCAAACGCTGAGCCCCAGGGTTTGCATGTTCTATGAAGGGTTTAGGGTTTAGGGTTTAGGGTTTAGGGTTTAGGGTTTGGGGTTCAGGAGCGACCGCCGGAGGACTTTCACCTGCTGAAGGCAGAACTGGTGTCTCTCTTCGAAGCAGCACTGCAGCAGCCAGAAGCAGCAGCAGCAGCAGCAGCAGCAGAACTGCATTCAGCTTTGGGGGTTTTGTACAACATTGACAGGCACTACGACGAGGCCCTGCTGCACCTGGCAGAAGCCCTGAAGCACGCGTGAGGGTTTAGGGTTTAGGGTTTAGGGTTTAGGGTTTGGGGTTTAGGGTTTAGGTTTGCTTGCGGGGTGGGGGGTTTAGGGTTTGCGGAGCGCGGAGATTGGGGCGCGCGGAGCTGGTGCCGCGGGCGGCCAAGGGCCTAGGGCTTAGGGTTTAGGGTTTAGGGTTTAGGGTTTAGGGTTTAGGGTTTAGGGTTTGCAGGAAAGAAGAAGCAGCAGCTTCTTTGTGGAATAAAATTGGAGCCACTTTGGCCAACTCCGGAAGATCTGCTGCTGCTCTCGTGGCTTATTCTCAAACCCTCAAGTTGAAGCCAAACTACCCGCGGGCTTGGACCAACATGGGGGTGGCCAAGGCCAACCTCGGTAAACCCTAAACCCTAAACCCTAAACCCTAAACCCTAAACCCTAGGCCCTGGGCGCTAGCCCCGGCCTGCGCCGGGGGTTTTCCCCGCACGCCGCCACGCCCAAGTCCTCACGGGCTAGGGTTTAGGGTTTAGGGTTTAGGGTTTAGGGTTTGCTGGCGCTCCGCAGTTCTCGCCAGGCCTCAACCCAAGCCCTAAACCCTAAACCCTAAACCCTTGGTCTCCGGCCTGGGGGCGCGGGGCAGCAGCTGGGCGTGTGGGGAGCTAAAGGGCGCCTCAAACCCTAAACCCTAAACCCTAATTGTCACAGTGCGCAAACCCTTAATCCTAGTTGTGAGCTCGCGAGACCTAAACCCTAAACCCTATCTCAAACCCTAAACCGCCGAAGTCTCAGAGCTGGCTTGCCGCAGAGCGGTTGAGGGCTCGGGACTCACGGATTAGGGTTTAGGGTTTAGGGTTTAGGGTTTAGGGTTTAGGGTTTGCGGCGCAGGGCAAATGGAAGAAGCCCTGCAGCACTATTTGGTGGCCCTCGAGCTAAACCCTGCAGCAACTCATCTTTGGTATTATATCCGCAGCGCCCTCATTAGCCTAAGTAACTAAACCCTAAACCCTAAACCCTAAACCCTAAACCATAAACCCTAGGAGTTCTTTGGTTGGAGCGCTGAGGCCCTCGGGGCCTTACAGCTGTTCTTTAGGGGCAGCACTGCTGGCTGGTGTTTACGTCCAAGTTAGCGGCTTCGAGGGTTTAGGGTTTAGGGTTTAGGGTTTAGGGTTTAGGGTTTGGGCGGCTGCTGCAGATCGGTATGACTGGATTAGCCTCACTGACAACCGGGATCTTGAGGGTTTGCGGAAAGTGGTGCCGGTAAGCCTTCACCCCAGCAAACCCTAAACCCTAAACCCTAGCTTGTAAACCCTAAACCCTAGTTTCTAAACCCTAGACCCTAGATCGAAAGCCCTATACCCTCATTTCAAAACCCTAAGACAAGCAGAGTCAGTTGCTGCTCTGCAGCGCGGAACTCTTTGAGGGTTTGTGGCCTAGGGTTTAGGGTTTAGGGTTTAGGGTTTAGGGTTTAGGGTTTAGGGTTTGGCGTGCAGAGAGGAGATGCCCCCCCTATATCTTCCCTAATTGCTCCCGGCGATCCCGAAGCAGCAGCAAATAACTCGAAGGTGCTGCAGCAGATATTTGATATGCTGAAATGAGCCTTTTGCTGCAAACCCTAAACCCTAAACCCTAAACCCTAAACCCTAGTCGTCGCTTGATTTCTGTGGAGCCCTCGCTGGGGCACTGCTTCGGCTGTTTTTCTCGAGGGTTTAGAGCTCACCGAGGGTTTAGGGTTTAGAGAGGGTTTAGGGTTTAGAGAGGGTTTAGGGTTTAGAGAGGGTTTAGGGTTTAGGGTTTTAAGAGGATTTAGGGTTTACGGAAGGCGTAATTCGCAGCTAGGGTTTGAGGGTTTAGCTTTAGATCAAAGTGAGGACCTCACTGGAGCAGCAGCAGCAGCAGAAAGTAACAAGAGCTGCAGCAGCAGCCAGCAGCAGCAGCAGCAGAAAGTAACAAGAGCTGCAGCAGCAGCCAGCAGCAGCAGCAGCAGCAAGTAACAAGAGCTGCAGCAGCAGCCAGAAGCAGCAGCAGCAGTAAATTTAGCGTTAAGGACAGCAGCAGAAGCAGCAGCAGCAGCAAGAGCAGCAGAAGCAGCACTAGAGGCAGCGGCAGCAACAGCAGCAGCAGCAGCAGCAAGAAAAAAGAGCAGCAGCAGCAGCTGCTGCTGCTGCTGCTGCTCACTGCTGCAAACCCTTGGCCCTTGGACCCACTGCAAACCCTTTTTTGTGTTTTGTAATTATCGACGTGTTTCAGACGAAGCACTGAAGCAAAGAAACGGGGGCCTCCAAACCCTAAACCCTAAACCCTAAACCCTCGATTTAGAGGTTTGGAGCCAGCGGTGTTTTTGCTGCTGTGTCTTTGTGGGGTTTGAGGCTTCAGAGCTCACGCCTAGGGTTTAGGGTTTAGGGTTTAGCGCTTAGGGTTTGGCGAGCTTCCAGTGAAGAGGCGGGCGCAGCAGTGCCGCGTAAGGGTTTAGGGTTTGAGGGTTTAGGGTTTGAGGGTTTAGGGTTTAGGACAAACGCTCCACACCCCCAAGTGGATCTAGGGTTTAGGGTTTACGCAGGTGCCGCGATGCCGCGTGAGGGTTTAGGGTTTGGGGCAACTATCCCAGCCCTGCATGGGGGTTTAGGGTTTAGGGTTTAGGGTTTAGGGTTTAGGGTTTCGACAAAAACCTCGTTTCAACTAGTTTTTTCGCCTTTGTTGTGTCCAACTGCAGCAGCAGCTCCGAAACCCTTCATGTCTTGCTGCAGCTGCGAAGTAGAGAATGAACAAATGAAAAATAAAAAAGAAATAAATTTAAAAATAAATTTAAAAATAAAATAAAATAAAATAAAATAAATAAATAATTCAAATCTTTGTCTCGGGCCGGGCGGAGCAGCCGCGAAGAGAGGCGGGCGGCAGAGCGCGGCGGCCTCGTAAACCCCAAACCCTAAACCCTAAACCCTAAACCCTAAACCCTTCGAATTTATTTGAAACGCTATTTTAGCTCAAAACACTAAACCGTAAACCACTGAGGCGCGCAGGAATCGAGTGAAATACGTTTCTTTCCGCATCGATAAACCTTTCCCAGTCACCTAGGGTTTAGGGTTTAGGGTTTAGGGTTTAGGGTTTAGGGTTCACTGCGACGTCCTTCAAGAGGACACAGCAAATTCACGTTTTAAGGTTAAAGTTTAAAATAATAAGCGAAGAATATGCGGCGACGACTCAGGGCTAAAAACCCTAAACCCTAAACCCTAAACCCTAAACCCTAAACCCTGGACAGCTAGCCCTACACATCTGAGCCTTAGCAGGGCTGGGCAGCACAATGTTGTTTTTTGCTTAGTTCTACGGGAGCGCCTCAAGAAAATGCTGCTCCTGTATTTCAGGGTTAAGGGTTTAGGGTTTAGGGTTTAGGGTTTAGGGTTTAGGGTTTAGGGTCTCTCGTGAGGCCGCTCCGCCCGATCCAGCTGCCGCATTGTCTTGTAACTTTTATTTCTCTATTTCTTTGCCTGCTGCTTTTAAAGATTCTTTAAAAAGGGCAGCAGCAGAGACATTTGGCCCAAGATTAGGGTTTAGGGTTTAGGGTTTAGGGTTTAGGGTTTAGGGTTTGGAGCTCGCTGCGGCATGGTCCAGCCGACAGCTGAGGCACACATCCGCAGCATGCAATGCAGCCGCAGGAGAAGCTTCCTCAGCAGCAGCTGCTGCAGCAGGTGCTGCCGCAGCAGCAGCAGCAGGGACAAACACACAATGAAGTCCAGCAGCAACAGCAGCATGAGCAGCAGCAGCAGCAGCAACAGCAGCAGCAGCAGGTGACTGAGGACCAAGCTGCAGAGCAGCAGCAGCGGTTAACGCACGAAGCAGTTCAGCAGCAGCAGCACGAGCTGCAGCAGCAGCAGCAGCACGAGCTGCAGCAGCAGCAGCAGCAGCAGCTGCAGCAGCAAGATCAGCAGCAAGTGCAGCATCAAGGGGCCCAAGGGCTTACTGCTGCAGCATCTCCTGACAGCGAGAATCAATACAAAGTTCCTGCTGCTGCTGCTGCTGCTGCTGCTGCTGCTGCTGCTGCAGATACATGGGACCCCTGCGCTGCTGTCGAGCCCTCGAACTGCAGCAGCGGGGCCGACAGCAGCAACAAGAGCAACAATGAGCTGCTGCAGCCAGCAGCAGCAGCAGCAGCAGCAGCAGGCTGCAGCAGTCCAAGCTGCATGTGGCTCGCAGGCCCAGCAGCAGCAGCAGCAGAAGAAGCAAGCAGCAGCAGCATCCACAGCCCCTCCGGCGTGCTGCTCGATGCAGCAGCAGCAGCAGACTGTGCTAGCAGCTGCAGCAAGAGCAGCAGCAGCAGCATCAGAAGCAGAAACTCACAGGCTTTTCTGCCTGCTGCGGTGGCACCAAGAGCAGCAGCAGCAGCAGCAGCAGCAGCAGCAGCAGCAGCAGAAGCAGCAAGCTGCAGCAGCCTCCCTTGCTCGCCATCCTGCTTACCCGCAGATGCAGCAGCAGCTGCAGGGGCAGCGGCAGCTGCAGCAGCAGCTGCAGCAGCAGCAGATGTCCGCAACAGCAGCAGCCCTTCTTCTGCGCCTTCGAGCGAAACAGCAGCAGCAGCAGCAGCAGCAGCAGCAGCAGCAGCAGCAGCAGCAGCAGCAGGCAGCAGCTCTCGTAGCTGCTCGCCTCACAGACCCGATGGCCTTGGGATAAGGAAGTCACCTCGTTTGCTGCGGAGCCCAGCAGCAGCAGCAGCAGCAGCAGCAGGCAGCAGGAGTCCTTTGGAGGTCTTACTGCCAGCAGCAGCAGCAGCAGCAGGCAGCAAGAGCCCCTTCGAGCCCATGCTCCCAGCAGCAGCAGCAGCAGCAGCAGGCAGCAGGAGTCCTTTGGAGCCTGTGCTGCCAGCAGCAGCAGCAGCAGCAGCAGCAGCAGCAAGCAGCAAGAGTCACTTGAAGGCCATGCTGCCCGCAGCAGCAGCTTCATGCGCTGCAGCAGCAGCAGCAGCAGCAGCAGAGAGCCTCGGCGCGTCGCCCCACATCAGCTTCAGCCAAGAAGCAGCAGCAGCAGCAGCAGAAGCAGCAGAAACAGCAACGACGGAAGGAGCAGCAGAAGCAGCCATAGCAGCAGCAACAACAACGGCAGCAGCGGAGGCAGCAGCAGCAGCAGCAGCAGCAGCAGCTAAGAGTGTGGACAATTCAGCTGACATTGCTGCGGGCCCTGCATGCACAGCAGCAGACAACACAGCCGCACCAACTGCAGCAGCAGCAGCAACAACAGCAGCAACAGCAGCAGCAGCAAGCTTGCGCTCACCTGAGACGCTACCTATGCCAGCAGCAGCAGCAGCAGCAGCAGCAGCAGCAGCAGCAGCAGTGGCATCTCCAGCAGCCAGTTGTTCCCCGAGTGTGCTGCTAAGCCCCGAAGCTGCAGCACACTGCAGCAGCAGCAGCAGCAGCAGCAGCAGCTGCGGCTCAAGCCCGTTGCTGCCGCCGGCAGCAGCAGCAGCAAAAGCAGCCGAAGTGACCCCAGGCGACGTCGCCGCCGCCGCCGCAGCAGCAGCAGCAGCAGATACAGCAGCAGCAGATACAGCAGCAGCAGCAGCAACAGCAACCTCGCTACCTGTACTTAAAAGAGTACAAATTCTGCCTGTTGACCACCCCCACACGCTGTCTGCTGCTGCTGCTGCTGCTGCGCTGCAGCAGCTGCAGCAAATGGACCCGCGCATATATCCTGGCCGCGTGTTTTATGCGAAGCTGGGAGCAGCAGCAGCAGCAGACGCAGCAGCAGCAGCAGCAGACGCAGCAGCAGACACGCCGGTAGGTGCAGCAGCAGCAGCAGCACCTGCAGACATTGTCACTGTGTTGCCACTCCTTCCGAGCGCAGACGCTGCTTCTGCCGAAGCAGCAGCAGCAGCAGCAGCAGCAGCAGCAGCAGCAGCAGGGGACACCTATCTGCCGTATGTTGTAGCAGCAAGCGAGCCGGCCTCGGGCGGCAGCTGCAGCAGCAGCACGCTGCTGCGCTGCAGCAGCAAAGCCATTGCGAGGCCAGTGCAGCGGCTGCAGCTGCTGGCGCTGCTGCAGCACTCCTTTTGGTCTATTAAGTCTGGTGTGGGGCGAGACACAAAGGTAATTGGCATAAGGCAGCAGCAGCAGCAGCAGCAGCAGCAGCAGCAGCAGCAGCAGGGGCTGCTGCTGCTGCAGCAGCCGCTGCTGGACCCTGAGCAGCAGGAGTTTCTGGGGGAAACGTTTTACCTGCCTCCGCCCGACGTGCAGCTGCCGTCTGCCTTCAAGCCTCCTGCTGCAGCAGCAGCAGCAGCAGCAGCAGCAGCAAGCAGGGGAGAGAGTGCAGATCTGCTGCGTCTTGCTGCTTTCGAAACGCCTGCCGAAAGAGCCAGCCAAATCCAGGCCGAGCAGCAGCAGCAGCAGCAGCAGCAGCAGCAGCAGGAGCAGGAGCAGCAGCAGGAACAGCAGCAGGGGCAGCAGGAACAACAGCAGCAGCAGGAGCAGCAACAACAGCAGCAGGAGCAGCAACAACAGCAGCAGCAGGAACAACAGCAGCAGCAGCAGCAGCAGCAAGGCGCAGCAAGTGATGCTGCGGGCGAATTGCCGGAGCTGTACGCTCGACGTGCGCCCGGCTCCCTTCTTTTGCCCCACACCAGCAGCAGCAGCAGCAGCAGCAGCAGCAGCAGCAGCAGCAGCAGCAGCAGCGTGGTTCTCAGCAGCAGCAGCAGCAGGGGAGGCCCGTGGGCGCTGGGGGAGCTGGTGCGGAGCCTGCAGGCTGGCGCGGACAGTCTGCTGCAGTGCCTGGGCTCCCTCAGCAGCAGCAGCAGCAGCAGCAGCAGCAGCAGCAGCAGCAGCAGCAGCAAAGCGCTGTTTGTGGACGAGCAGCAGCTGTTTCTCGCGCATGCAGCCCCGTACCTCCGCAGCGACGCTGTTGTCTTTCCGGGAAAAGTTTTTTCTTCTTTTAAAATCTTTTTTATGATTTCAAAAATGTTTCCCAACTTCCAAGAAGGGCCTGGATACTGCACTTTGGACACGGTGCTTTATTATTTATTTATTTATTTATTTATTTATTTATTTATTTATTTATTTATTTATTTATTTATTTATTTGTTTA